TATATGTGAACTGCTGTATGAAAAGTGAATTTACTCTGTAAATCTTCACCCAAATCCTAATAAAATAAATAAATAAATAAATAAATAAAGGTATGGCAACTTCTATTGGGGGGCGGGGAACAGACATAGCTCAGTCTGCTAAGATAAATAAGTGTTCACAGGCAGGGATGCAAATGTTTGCTCTTGAGTGATATATACTATATCTTACCTGCAGTCTCATTAGTAAGCTCCAGTTTCTCAGGAATTTGAAGACATTTGATGGAGGAGGAGGTGCTTGTGACTGAGGCAGAAGATCCAGAGAACCCAGAGGAGTGTGTGGCTTCGTGACTATCTTCAATAATTGGGCTGAAAGAACCATAAGTAAGTCTATCCTTATAGGGATGATATATACTTAAGGGTGTTGTAATTTGATACCCAATAGTCTCATTATTGTTGTTGGTTACTGTTGAGTTGATTCTGATTCATGGTGACCCCATGTTTGCAGAGTAGAGACGTTCCATGGGGTTGTTTTTTTTTTTTTTAATTGCCACAAAGAGTTTATTAAGAAATTTTACTTATTTTCACAACAATCCCATAAACTAGATAGCACTATCCAGATTAAGAATGGAGACATACTGGGTCAGAGAATTTAAGTAATCTGCCCAATATCACACAATTAGTAATTAAAGAAACTGGAATTTAAACCAAGATTTTGCCAGTACCTACAGTGGATGCTTTACTAAGGAGATATGCGGTCTCTCACTCATTCCTATCCCACAAATTAGTTTTTGGTGCTTATTTCCTTTATTGGGTAATATATAAGACAGATAGATTTAGTAAGCCATTTTAAACACTGCTGAAATAAGAATATTTACTGCAATTCATTTAATAAAGATTTACTAAGGCACTGTTTTAGGTTTTGTAGATGTGGTAGTAAATGTGATTTTGTTATAGTCATTTATGACACTTCTGGGTTTCTTAATACTGCACACCACGTTGTTTCACCTTTGAAAACAGAACACAGAGTTGTTTTGTACACTGCTACACTGATCAATACTCTGAGGTTATTCTAAATAAGAACACAGGCTTGCCCCTTTAGACTCCTGATGTAGCTCCATAGGGGTTTCAAGACTGTCACCTTCCAAACTGCCCCTGGGTGGGTTCTAACCATTAATCTTTTGACTAGTAGTTGAGCATTTAACTGTTTGCGCCACCTAGGGGCTCCTTAATAGTCTCATTAAAATCTAATATTTTCCCAAAACAGAAATAGATTCATAATTAGAATCTAGGTAATTTCATCTATCTTGGTTGCAGTGTAGTAAATTAGCTTAATGTGGCTTTTCTAGCCATAAGTCTTTGTAAACTCTGTGGTGGAATTTATTGTGAGCAACTGGGGAGCTCCTGATTGTAAAAGTTATCCACCTGGGGTATTTCTGTTGGGCACAACATAAAGCAATGTTCTGGGAGGTTCCTGCTCTCTCTCAGGTGCTTAGAATTCTGATGTTATGATTGGTTAGTTTGGCCACTCTGTCTCCTGTAGGCAGAAGAAGTCTCTCTCTGACTGCTGGATGAGGAAGATGTGCTACTGAAAGAGACACACATTGAAAGAGACACACATTGCTAAGTGAGACACCGAGGGACACTCACTGTTGGGAGATAGACTGAGCGTTTTTCCTGAACCTGAATTGTAGCCTGGTGCTTTGCTAATAAACCCCATAATCTGTTGAGTTCTGTGTGGCCACTGCAGTGAATTATCAAACCCAGGAGAGAGGTGGTGGGTGCTTTGGGAGGAACGGTTGGTGAAAGGGCTGGTGAGAGGCAGCACGTCTGGCTTTGCAGTAAGTAATAGGCCTTGGGCTATTAATGGTGATTCTGTTTTCCTCTTGTGGGGTTAGAGGAGGTCAGAGCATGTGGCCTCCTTATCTTTTTGGCAATGGTTGACAAGCAATGTCCAGAATAAAAGATCTGGATTTATGCTTTATTTACCTAATCTACACATAACAGTAAATGCCTATTCCCCATCGATCCTTGACTACTGAGAAACATTGACTAAGATATTAACTTTCTTCTCCTTTTTCTGGACTCTTTACTCTTTGATAAGAAAAGGTTGAGAAAGGAAAAGAGAAATACAAATCACTCACGATGGACACACACTAGCGAATAAGATAGAAAGTTGGTCAGAAGAAAAGTTTGAAAATGCAGTTTTTAAATCACAAATTGGTAAATTATATTCCTAAAACAGAAATCAATCTGTTTAAATTAGTTGACTTTTAAATATGGATAAGTCACAAGGTTTGGTCCTGGCTCTCTATGCCATTCCTTCATGTCTATTTATTAATTCACTCTCACTTATCATTTTTACCTCTCTATCAAAAGGCTCTTTTTCTTTATTACATATGTAGCTACCTATTTGAAATCAATTATCAAGTTAGTCTACTATTATTTTAAACTTAGTATTAAAGACAAAATGCATCCTCTCTCCAAATCTCTGTCAAGATTCCTCAAAGGTGCCATAATCCTCCTGTACCTCTTTGTCTCATGTTGTTGTTTGTTGTTGTTGTGTGCCGTCGAGTCGGCCCCGACTCATAGCGACCCCTCCTTGGGTTTCCGAGGCAGTATCACTACGGAAGTAGGACTGCCCAACCTTCCTTCCGAGGAGTGGCTGGTGGGTTTGAACAGCCAGTCTTCTGGTTAGCAGTCAAGTGCTTTTAGCCACTATGCTACCAGAGCTATTAAAATTTACTTCTACATCTCATAACCAAATCAATCACTAAATCCCACTGACACTTTATCTGGGGGAGTCCTACTGTCATATAAAGCACTTAACATAGTACCCAGCAGATAGTCGAAGTTTGATAAATTAATTGCTCTAACTGGCAAACACACATACAAGGGAGCACTCAAATAATCTGGTCTGTGCATCCTGTAAACCCCAATCACCTCAGCTTCTTGACGCTGAGAGTTTGATTGTAGACAGTGCCACAAGTAGTCTGTGGGTCCTCAGAGCTCTTTATGTCTAGATCTTCTTCCTGCAAGAGTCTCTCAGGGCTAGGAGGGAGATTCTTCAAGGATATTATCTCATGAAATGGGGTAGATACAAAATGGGCTGCTCTAGCGAAGTCACAAGTGTCTTCCGGGTTGGGACAAATAGTTACATTCCTGAAACCAGTGATAATGGCATCTTCACTCAAGGGCTCAATTCCTGTAAATTCATCCTAAATTAGAAACATGTAAAGTTGAGCTGAAATATTTCAATGAGCATACAAACAGGCTATCTTTTTTGCATTAGATATACATTAGATCAGAGAGATCTATGTTAGATCAGAGAATTTCAACACAGGGTAAAGGAAATGCATATCATAATCTCTGGGGAAGACAACTGCCAAAACACATAATTAAACACATAATATTACTTCTGAGGAAAACCGTATATATCACGAAAATAGCAAATTATATTTCATTAAAGAATACACTGTGAGGATTTGCCACACAAGGAAAAAATACTGGACAATGGTTTACTGCTTTTTCTTCTGCCTTTGGCCTAGAAAACATTCTGAGAATTCTCCTAGATTTTAAGGCTTTCTCTTCTATGCCATATACTTAATTTTTATTTTATTTCTCAAAGGTAATTCATGATTATGACAGAAATATAAAAACATAAAGTGGGGGGGGATCACCCAAAATACTTAATCTAATATTCTTACTATGCATTTAAAACAAGCCTTTGTTTATAAAAGTTATACATGTACATGGTTTTAAAAAGCCAACTAGTTTTTCTAGATGACTGGGACCTTCTAAAGAGTAAATTTTTATGTGCTTCAAAAGACTTCTCCAAAAGGGTTAAAAGAGAACCTACAGATTGGGAAAAAATATTTAGCAACAACATATCTGACAATTGACTTACAACAGAAAGATAAACGATCCAATTAAAAAATGGGCAGAAAACATGAATAGATACTTCACCAAAGAGGATATTCAGGTGGCCAACAAACACATAAAGAAATGTTCACCATCATTAGCCAATAAAGAGATGCAAATCAAAACAACAATGAGATACCATCTTGCCCCAGCACTAGTTGCAAACTTCAACAAGACAGAAAATAACATGTTGGGGAGATGTGGAGAGATAGGTACTCTCATACACTGCTGGTGGGACTGTCCAAGGATACAACCACTGTGCAAAGCAGTATGGCAATTCATTAAAAAGTTGGAATTAGAAATACCATTTGATCCAGCAATCCCATTACTAGGTCTACATCCTAAAGAAGTGAAAGCCAGGACAAAAACAGATGTATGCATACCCATGTTCATCACAGCACTATTTATTTATAATAGCAAAAAGATAGAAATAACCTAAGCCCATCAACAGAAGAATGGGTAACCAAACTATGGTACATACACACAATGGAGTAAAATGCGACCCTAAAGAATAATGTAGAATCTGCAAAATATCGCATAACGTGGATGAACTTGGAGGACATTGTTGTTGTTGTTATGTGCCGTCAAGTCGGCCCTGACTCATAGCGACCCCTCCGTGGGTTTCCGAGGCAGTATCACTACGAAAGTAGATTACCCAACCTTCCTTCCGAGGAGTGGCTGGTAGGTTTGAACCGCCAACCTTCTGGTTAGCAGTCAA